AATAGACTAAGCCCAAATAACAGAAACACACATCTTAACATCTAACAATAATAAAATCACTCTCTTTTTCGAGTTGGTACCAGTGCTCCTGATCTTGAGAGTTCCGTTTCTACTACAAATGTACCCACCGCCGCCACTGTCCAATATCCTTTCATTTATGACCCTTAATATGAAAGCTTATAAGGAGGAACTCAAGCGCTTGAAAGCAACAGTTGAATTAATGATTAAGCCCTCTGGATCATCTACTTTCTCCATGAAAGGTAAGATCTCTCTCAATACTGTTGGTTATGTGTCTAAAGGTATTTGGATTCCTAATTTAGGAGCAACTGATCATATGAAACATATTTGTGTGTCCTTCGATTCATATGGTAAAACAAATAGAGAATAAGTTATTACAATTATACCTATATATGGCTCTGGGAATATAATTTTGGACTCATCTATTGTAATAAACGATGTTTTACATGTTCCACAATTAGCCAACAGTCTTATCTCTATGAAAAAACTCACAAAGGAATTAAATTGTTCAGTAACATTTTTCTCAACTTATTGTGTTTTCCAGGACCTTGCCACGGGGAAAACGATTTTAACTGCTAAGGAGCAAAGTGGGTTGTATTTGTTGGAGTCTGATGACCAAAGGAAAACAAAAATCATGAGTCAACAAGTTAGATCTCAAACGTGGCCAAATTCCCAAATATGGTTACATCATAAAAGGCTTGGGCATCCTTCATTCAATCTTATCAAGTCCTTATTTCTCTATTTGTTTACCAAGGAGTCAGTTGAGTCTTTTAATTGTGATATTTGTTAGTTGTCAAAACATCATAGGGCATCTTATCCTATTAGTAATAAAAAGATACTTCTCCATTTGATTTAATTTACTCTAACATTTGGGGACTTGTCGTAGAATCTATTTCCGAAGCCAAATGGTTTGTTACCTTTATTGACGATTGTACCCATGTTACGTGGACATACCTTATGAAAAATAAATCAAAAGTTTTGCAAATCTTTTGTTAATTTTTCCATCTTATCGAAAATCAATTTGGATAAAATATCAAAAGAATCAGGTTTGATAATGGTACTGAATGTGAATCATGAATTTTTCAATTTTTTGTCTCATAATGGTATTGTTCATGAACTAACATGTGTAAACACCCCTCAACAAAATGGGGTTGCAGAAAGAAAGAATCGTCATCTCTTGAAGTAACTAAAGCTCTTCTTTTCAAATGGTTGTTCCCAAAAATTACAGGGGGGAAGCTGTGTTAACTGCCACATATTTCATGAACAGGTTACCCACCCGTATCTTAAATGGCATTAGTCCTATAGAGTCTTTATTGTCTTTTATTCCTTTGTCCCCCTAAAAACGAGTCTACCTAGTCGAGTCTTTGGATGTATTGTTTTTGTTCACTCTCATCATCCTAACCGTAGTAAATTAGATCTCAGAGCTCTTAAATGTGTCTTTATTGGGTATCCTTCTAATAAAAAAGGGTAAAAATGTTATCATCCTTCCTCAGAGACAAGAAGGCAGTAGGGTGTAGATGGATATTCATAGTGAAACATAAGGCAGATGAGATAATAGAAAGATATAAAGCTAGATTGGTAGCAGTAGGATATACCAAAACTTATGGGATTGACTATGAGGAGACGTTTTCTCTAGTGGCAAAGATAAATACAATTCGAATTGTTGTCGCTTTGACTGCTCATTTTGGATGGGACTTACACATGTTGGATGTGAAGAATTCCTTTCTTCATGGAAATCTAGAAGAGGAAGTGTCATTGGAGATTCCCCGAGGTTTTGAAGTGAAAAATGAAAAAAACAAGGTATGTCTCCTAAAGAAAGCATTGTATGGTCTTAAGCAATTCCCTAGAGCATAGTTTGAAAGATTTACAAAAGCAATGGTTTCGTTGGGATTCAGACAAAGCCAAGGAGATCATACTCTATTCATAAAGCACTCTTCTACTAGTAAACTCACTCTATTAATTGTCTATGTGGATGATATGATTATTGCAGGAGATGATGAAACAGAAAAATTGGCGTTAAAATAAAAATTGGCAGCCCAATTTGAAATGAAAGACTTAGGAAAACTCAAATATTTTCTTGGAATAGAGATTGCTTACTCCAAGAACGAAATTTTCATCTCCCAAAAAAATATGTACTTGATCTCCTCAAAGACACAAGAAAGTTGGGATGTAGAATCTCAACAGTTCATATAGAACAAAATCACAGAATTGGAAGTGAAGAAAGTGTTTTTGTAGAGAAGGCCCCATATCAAAGATTGGTAGGAAAATTGATTTATCTATCACACACAAGACTAGACAAACATTGCTTATGCAATTAGTGTAGTGAGCTAATTTATGCATAATCCAAGAGAGAGAGACATGCAGGCAGTTGACAAAATTCTTCAATACTTGAAGTCAAGTCCAGGAAAGGGGCTATTATTCAAAAGGAAAGACACATTGACTATGAAAATATATACTAATGTTGACTATGCAGGTTCTATTACTGACAGAAAATCTAGTTCTGATATTGTGTTTTTCTTCGAGATAGTCTGGTAACATGGAGGAGCAAAAAGCAAGATAGAGTATCTCGTTCTAGTGCAGAAGCTGAATGCTGAACTCTTGCTCAAGGAATGTGTGAAGGACTCCGGATGAAAATCATTTTGGATGACCTTAAAGTCAACGTGGACAAGCATGTGCAACTACACTGTGCAATAAGTCTACCATGAGCATTGCCCGTAATCCAGTACAACATGATAGGACCAAACAAATTGTCTTTGTACCAGACTTGCTTAAGGTATCCTGATGAACCAAGGGATTAGACTCTGGAACTTGTCTACATTTTCCATTTCAGCCATTACAAAAATGTGCAATTAAGGCACAAAAACGAAGACTGATAATGAGTGTTTGAGATCACGCAGGAATGAAGGCTGCGATGAAACTTTAGGGTTGGGCAACAATGAAGGCTGTGATGGAACTCTAGGGTTGGGCAACAATGAAGGCTGCAATCAAAGCACATGGTCAGAGGCTCCCAAGGATCAGGAACTCTGATACCATCTTAAATTTAGGAGAAAAAATATATTTTTTATTATTTGTCTCCTTACATGCATTGGATATATATACAAGAGCTTATTGAATGAGCAGTCTATTCTACAAAACAAATCCCTAAAATTGTGGGATTGTTATTCTAGTAATAATAGCAAGATACAAAGAATATAACAAATTAACATGGGAATAATATCTAAAATTTCCTAAAATATATTTTGATAGAGTTCGTTCAGGGTATATAGTTTAGATTTTCACACACTTTTAGGGAGGGAAATAGGTGTGCAAATAGCTTAGCTGCTTACTGTCTAAGAACTTTAGTTTTTACTTGGTGGGATGGATAGCCTCCGTGTGTTGTCTCTGATTTTTGTACAAATAGATGGGGCATCCCACATTACTCATTGTCTTAGTGGGTTTTGATTTGATCCCACCACATTTGTATTTCCTTTTTCTTTTAATTGTATTAAGAGTTCTGCAGAAGATTAGTACAAATTATAGTGCTAACTTAGTTAGGATTGCAAGCCATATTGCGATGTGATAGCATTCTTTCTATTGATTAAAAAAACTATGTACGTGTATATCTGTAAAAATAAATATAATGAAAGAAAAAATTTGAAACTTAAGAGAGAAATTTAATAAAGCTCAATGTTTTATGGATACAAATATAATTTCATTATTTTGATTGAAAAATGGATACAAACAGATAGGAAGACAGGAGATCTTGTTAAAAAATACAAAAACTAAAGAGAACCAAAATATGTAAGAAAATAGTGAAGCAAAGCTATGGGTTTAACATAAAGGGGAAGATGTTACCGATGCTTACTGTGCATAAACAATGAAAATTGCAGATAAAATACAACAAATCACCAAGGCAGATAATGCTAGAGGCCAAGATAAAACCATCAAATTAAGTATTGCTCCAGTTCCCTAGATAAAAAATAGAGGGACAGTCAATACCAGATGGAAAGATAAAGTCATCAAACTAAAATAACAGATTAATATGTAATGTAAGAATTAAAACCTGACAAGTGTTGCGTAATATGAGCTGAAGATCATTTCCTATCACATGGGATAACCGTTGACAATCTGCTGTGAGCCTGCTTGTCAAGTCACCAACTCTTTCTTTATCAAAGTAGGAGATGTCCTACATCACAGATAATAACAAACATAGGTCGTAGATTAACTAGAGGAAAAGAAAGAAATAGTAAAATAATACAAATAAATAACCAAAAAAAATCTAATTAACGCCCACTAGTGTTGTATATTTTCACTTAGTAAAATACGTACCTGAAAAAGAATTGTTGCATATAAGTTTTCTCGTAGATGCTTTACCTGAAAAATTATCATGGAATGGTGACCAGTGCACTTAATCTTAAACAACAATGGTACTTTAAAGAAAAAAGAAAAACATTGGAGTGGGAAAATGATCTACAATAGCAATAAGAACAAGAAAAAAAGAGGGTATCCCAAGCAATTATATGCATGGAATAAAAAAGTCAGTTAAAGTAGAAAGTTGAAGCTGCAGTAATGAAATAGCGAACACAGAAATTGAATTTCTTAATAAAAAGGCCAATGGAGAATTCCCGAGTGGGATGCCTTAATGAAATGTGAAAGCAAGAGAGCTACAGATAACAAAAAGTTGTTAATTGTGGCATCTAGTAGTTTAACCATTCATTATTAAGCCTTTTGTCTTGCTTGCCCCAACATTGATCATGACATTTTCTGGCTTGAATTTTTTCCTCAAAAGAATTTGAGAAAAACCCACACAAGAAAGCAAAAAGAGTCCCAATTCATAAAGTTACAATCAAAAGAAAGCCAAGAAAATAAAAAATAAAAAACCTCTCCCTTAGTTAAAACCTCCAAAACTTATGCACAAAAGGGGAGATTCAAAACAAAGTTCAAAATAACTCTCCTTTGACCTCCAAAACTAAGGCTAACTTAAATGTTAACGAAAACCAGTTAAGCTATAGGGATGGAGAAGGGCCTAATAGGCATATTCATAAAGTCTATGAAAGAAGGAAGTGGAAACCCATTACGTGTGGACCACGAGATACTTTACAATGATTGGTTGCAACAGTTTTCCATAGAGGGCAGAGAGAAAGAGAGAGAGGGTAGGTATGAGAGTGTCAAACTGATAGATTATAAGGTGATAGGATATAATGGGTTTAGGATAGAAGGAAGAGGAAATGAGAGGGCGGTTAGGAAGAGTTGTTTGACAGTTAGTTAGTTAGTGGAAAGGGGAAGGGAGACTTTATAAATAAGGTGTATGTTCTGCACAGGACTAGTTAATTCTTTTGTACATTTGAGTATAGACTGGATATTTGTTCCAGTGGAGGGAGAGAGGCTTCCTTGGTGTGATTCTTTGTACATTGATTCATTCATACATCAATAATACACATTCTATTCTGTTATCTTTTGTGTGTTCGTGAGAGGAGGAGAGTGTTGATGGACTTCTTGATTAAAGAAGTCTATCACAGACCTTTTAAGAGGTGAGTAGGGGCATACATGGGGGGAGGCAAATTTTGTTGGGAATTTGGGACAGGCTGGGCTGAGTAGACAATCAGATGTCTACGTCTCTGTATTCGTTCCATACTCGTCGTTTAGAACCCACTACCTATAATAAATTCTTCCATATTCACCTTTTCTCTCTTAATGTTATTTGTTTTCTCTATTTTCGAGGTTTAGTTATCAGCCATCTATTTACTTTAGGTCCCCCATAATTTGCTTTGTTGGCTAAACTTGGAAGTTCTTTTTACACCATTGTCATACCAAGGACATTTGTGAAAAGGCTAACATCCTTACCCGATAGTGTAACCACGCAAAAGAAAAAAAAAGTAATGAATCAATGTATTAAGCCCATATCTTATGACTATTCTAGGAGTCATCAAGGAGCTTAGGAGATAATGGACCAATAGAGGAGTTAATTTACCCATGGTCCAGGGAGGGAACAGTAAACAGAATGTTGAGCTGGAAACGAAAAAGAATGTGGAATCCTAACCATATCAGGTGGAAGAGGAATGGGCAAAAACACTACACAAAGTGGCTGCATTGTGTTGCACGTTCCTGACGCTAGGGTTGGTGGTTTCTATGTTTATTTCCTTCTTGTTTTAACATTATTACACCAGGACAGTCTACTCTCAACAATCTGCTCTTGACAGTCTAATCATAATCTTCTAGTAGAATCTCAATAAGAAATCTAATTTCATATCTTCTTATCATAATAAATAGTATTCAGTTTTGATGAACTGATGATTTCATCTAATTGTATTAATCGAACAAAAGATAATCTACCTACAATGATTCATAGAAATAGTAGAGACATGATGAGGAGTAAAGAAAAATGCCCTGCATATGAAAGTTGACCCATCCGAAAATGTTAATTGAGATTTGAGAAAGGGCTGAGATCAAGACTTACCAAGGTTACATTCAAAATTCCAAAGCAGCCACTTCGTAGGCCACTGAAATTCAAAATGGGAGAACACAATTATGACCCACTCCATCTTAATACTAAAACAAATGACAAATAGCTCATATCAAGACTAGGCAATAAATTGAATCAAAGTGTTCCTTGATAGGACAGTGACAGAATAAGCATATAGAAAAAAGCATTAGGCACTTTGAACAAGGTTTACTAACAATTAGGTAATTTGTTTTCAAAGTTCAGATATCTCACCTCTTATTTTTACTATAAGTGGCCCTAGTTACTCAGAACAAGCACCCTATTATTTTAGGGTGAGTTAAGTCAGTCCTCTAGAACCTTGGATAATCAGTTTGCTAATCATTGTAGAGATATCAGGAAGAGTGACTAAAAACAAAGGTTACACAGAAACAAAGCTCTAAAAGAATCACCTGCATATCCCTGAAGTTAAGCACAAAAGAAGTAAAAACAGTGCATTCCTAGAGAACGCCACAGTCTCACCACTCTGTGCTGAAAATATTGATGCTGCCAATATACTTGGTATGGAGATCTCTGAAAGCTGCAGCAGCAGAATAAATATTGAGAATTAACATGGACTGGGTGAAAAATATAAAAATCATGAAGCTACAGTGCTGCACGTATATCAAGTTGCACCAGTTATTTTAGGACAATCTCTTCATAAAATGAAAGTTGATAAACTATAAGAAACATAACTCAAATGGTACTGAGTATTTCCGGGGATAACAGCCAGCTTGCTTGATCATGATATCACATTATCTAAACAACTGTGCTTGAACTTTAGCCTACCCTCCCGCCTTGCATGAGGTCATAGATCTTAAAAGAAGTGGCAACCAAGTGCACTAAGATCTTAGATTTGAGAGCCTCTTTCTAGAGTGGTCTTTGTAATTAGGTCTTAGATCTTCACAATAAAAAAATAAAAAATAAAAGAGTTATGTAGCAAATAACCAAGTCGAGGAGTTTAATTTTGGTGGACCATCTATCCCTCAATCATGCAATGAAAAACACTAAGATTGAACTTTTAGTTAGCTAATAATGTCAAGGTCAAACTCTTTTATTGAAATGCATGGAAACACGTGATCAGTGATACAGTAATTTATTCCACGTACTGGACTATAGAACTCCATCGAAACAAAAAGGGAGAACAAATATTGAAACACAAAGGAATATGAATCTAATTAGAATACACGGACAATGTAAAGGTATTTTATATGATAAATCCATTGACTTAATAGTAATCACTTTAATTGGTTGACACTTCACAGTATAAATTTTCTTTCCAAGACAGTACATGAATATTAAACTCGTGAAATATATAACATTTCACAGACAACATTGTAGTGCAGAACAACAAGCGCTATCCAAATTTAACCTGCCAGACTTCTATAAAAGAAAAACACTATTAAATATATAATCTGGTCACTAATAGATATATACTCGTATTACTTTGGTTCCACAAAATTGATTAACCGGTTAAGAAGTTCACAGTAGCATCAAAATCATCAACTTGTTAACATCCCTGAGAACGAATTTATATATACCAGTTAGAGCTAAAAGGAATATTAGCAACTTCTTTGGTAACTAAATTGTGCTCAATAAACCCACTAGAGTTGAATGTTGCACCATGCATACTTCAAAAAAAGAGTTTCTTTGTTTTTGGCAACGTTTGTAAATAATATTTAAAATAGGTTTTTAGAAATTCCTCCATAATCATTTTTATTAAAGGAAAAAAAATACAAAGAATAAACTGAGATAACTTTTTTTATATATTGTATAAATTTAATGTAAGAATGTTGAAAAAATTACGTGATAGAGCTTCTATAGCTTTTGAGTTTGAGTTTTAATTTAAGTTTACGGAGAAACTTGTGTTTTGTCTTGTTTCTCACGAAGTGCTTGCGTAGAAGCTTTTCCATACAAACTCTTACGGATTAAAAAGTAACTCATGCAATTCACACTCACAGCAGCAATTACAAGAGACCCAACCGCCACAAACGCGGCCCATCGCTCATCGGCGACCAATTCCCATATTCGCCGGAGAGCAATCAAGGCCGTCGTTGGCTCCACGCCGTCTTCCCGGAGCTCCGGCAAGGCCCACCAGCTTCCACCGGGTAGAATTGATGCCAAAAGCCCGACCCGTTTTGCGAACAGGGGACCGTGCTGGCACCGGGATTTTGGGGCAATGGTTCGGAAGGTTTTGGAGCCACCCGGTGGCAATGAGGAGAAAAAGTGGATTTGGGATTTGGTAGAGATGTAGGGTACGAACGTGCATTTGGGAATGTGGGATAAGTGAATGCTAGAGTGAGGAAAACGAAGGAAATTTTGGTTAGGGGACTTGATCATTGCTTCTGTTTGTCTTCACAAGCTATCATTTTGTGTAATGTAAGTAAACCATTAGCATTTCCTCCACCATTTTTCAGATTTATGGAAATGATGAGAAAGAACAAATTCACGGAAAAGCTTTGCGTAAAGAATCATTATTTAAATATTTTACTGTCGAAATGAATAAATCTTAGTTCAATTTTTATTATTCACAGAAATTATAATAGCTAAAAACAATTTTATAAACAATGATATTTTTTTCTATAATTTTATACATAATGAAATTACCTTTTTTGAACATAATATATTTTTCAAAATTGAATTTAAATATAATTATTTATTTCCCATCTATAGATCTATAAATTACACAAATTGAATTTCACTTTTTCAAAAAAAAATAATAAATTAAATAATAAATTTGAAAAGGCTTAAATAATGTTTTTTTTTTCTATTTTTTGTTAATTTTATTCAATGTAATACTATTTTTTTTTTTATGTTTTACTTGATCCTAATTTTGATAATTTATATTTGGTTTAAACCCTCCCTTGGTCCTCAAGTTTGTATGGAAATCTCAGTTTCGTCCTCGTTTTTTCATCTGTCTCAATTGGGTCATATTTTTTGTAAAAATGAGCACATTGTACCATAACCGTTAAGTGGTGTGAGACGGCGTTAAATTGATATGAGCTGGTGCACAGAGAATGTGGTGATGTGTGTTGATGACTTACGTGGACTGTTTTGATTAAATAAATAGTGCTGATGTGGCATAAGTACCCTTTATTCATTTTAGGTATATCAGAATTAGGGATTTGAAATTGGAATTGGGGATTTAATTTTTTGTACCAGACTCTGTCAGAGATGGAACAACATTTTCTTCATCCAACTTTGACTTAGTCAAGCTCTCCACTTTCTCCTTCTTCAGTATTGTGCCATGTCATAAGAGGAATACAATCCCACAAACAGGTAATACACCAGCAGAATCGCAATCCAGAATCCAAATCTTCTGAACGAAGCTTTATCCAACGAACCAAGAAGGAAAACGTTGATGCCAATGGAAGCTGATGGTAGGAACGGCACCAGTGGCACACCCCAAACCTTTGGCTTCTTCGTCATTGGAACCGAAAGCCAAATCCCCACTGTTCCCACAAGCCAAAGCGGCACCATGATGGTGTAACCAACCCATTTAGTGGTGTTGGCCCAGTAAACAGCTGATGCAACAGAAGAACCCAATATGAGAGCAATGCAGAGAACGAATTTCACAATGTTGGCTTGTGTAGCCACCCCTCTTGCACAGTAGTGGCGAACCAACAGGGCCAGCGCCACAAGGGAGAACAAGAAGAGAGTGGAGATCGAAATTAAATCACCAATTCCAATTTCAAATCCCTAATTCTGATATACCTAAAATGAATAAAGAGTACTTATGCCACATCAGCACTATTTATTTAATCAAAACAGTCAACGTAAGTCATCAACACACATCACCACATTCTCTGTGCACCAGCTCATATCAATTTAACGCCGTCTCACACCACTTAACGGTTATGGTACAATGTGCTCATTTTTACAAAAAATATGACCCAATTGAGACAGATGAAAAAACGAGGACCGAACTAAGATTTCCATACAAACTTGAGGACCAAGGGAGGGTTTAAACCTTTATATTTCGTTTGGTCCTTATGGTTATTAACCGGACCTATCATGCATAATAAGAGTTGGATTTAATTTATTTTATTGTAACTTGAAACCAAAATTGGCCATAAAATGAAAAATATGTATACTGGGGTTTTTGAATTGCGTGAGGTTTTTTTAGGAGGAAAATTGATTTTGTAAAGTCCTCCGCAGACAACAATCATGTTTGTTGTTTGAAACACCAATGTATGATTGTCAATCTTTGTTGTCTTGTTGCAATTCGGGGCACCGAATTTGTCATTCTTCACATGATGATGATTCAAGGAAAATTGGGATAATCCTCATTTGCAATTGTGGTAAGATGATAATAGTAAGAATGACAAGAACTTCAAATAATGTTGGAAGACAATTTTGGGATTATCCTAACTACAAAGTTATATTAATAATAACAAATTTAATTATTTCTAATAGAGATATTTCTTGGTAATTAACATTGCCTTTGTTATATTTGTGTTGAATAACAAAGTGGTTCCTCTAATATCATGTATAACTATTTTAAGTGGTGTTATGAAGAAATGTTGATGAAAGAGATGTTATCATTGACAAGCAAAGTAGGAAGATTTATGATATAGAAAATTCATTAAAAGTTTTGAAAAGAAGGATGCAATTATTAATAAGATGCATTTGTATTTTTGGTGTAATGAGCATAAGGAAAACATGTAGTCAAAGTTAAATAGGTATATCGCAATAAGTTAGATGAACATGCTGTGAGTCTTTGCCAAGACTTCTCTACTATGATGCAAGAAGAGTTTGAGATGAGCATGATGGGTGAATTAAAGTTCTTCCTTATACTACAAATCAAGCAAAAGACAAATGCAATATATATTCATCAGAGAAAATACATCAAAGAGTTGCTAAAGAAGTTCAAAATGAATGAAGCAAAGGAGATGAAGACTCAAATACATCCAACAACTACCCTAGTGCTAGATGAAAGCTCAACAAAAGTGGACAACACTACTTATTGTCAAATGATAGGTTCACTTTGCTATTTCACTATGCCTAGACCTAACATAATGTTCAATGTCTATCTATGTGCAAGATTTTAGTTAGATCCTAGAGAAACCTATCTAAGTGTTGTAAAGCAAATCTTTCGATATTTAATAAGAACAATCAATCTCATCCTATGCTATGAAGGAAGCGAAAGCTTCGAATTAGAAGGCTATTGTGAAGCTAACTATGCTAGAGAAAAAGTGGAATGTAAAAGCACAAAGGGAGGCTTCCACTTCATTGAAGGAAACCTTGTCTTGTGGTTGAGCAAGAAATAGAAAACAATTGTGTTATCAATTACTGAAGCAGAATATATATATATATATATATATATATATATATATATATATATATATATATATATGTCGCTCACTACTACTCACAACTGCTCTGGATCAGAAATCAACTAGAAGATTACAAATACTTCGAGAGTAAGATCCCTATATACTATGCCAATAATGTTGCTATTAATTTATCTAAAAATCATAGATTGCACTCACGCGCAAAGCATATTGAAGTCAAGCATCACTTCATACGGGATCATGTTAACAAGGGTATCGTAGATTTACAATACGTGAACAAAAAAGATTAGCTAGCTGACATCTTCGCGAAACCATTAATGGAAGATAGACTTTATCGTCTAATCATCATTCTCGACATGAGAATCGTTGAATGAATATGACTCAACATGTATAGTGCAATCATATAGCGCCTAGAGACAAACGTCAAAGACTCATCATCTAAGTGACGTCATATATATATAACATCATCTAAGACATATTGTCTATAAGAAAATCGCATACATGCATAAGTTGTATCTAATACTGAGCTCATCTCCAGCAAAATGTCTAGGATTCCAAAAGACTCTAAGTGACAGATCAAAAAATTTCAAATCTGAGTTTTTGCAATAATTTGTCCCATCATCTATTATGTGTCAACCAAGTCATTAAATCTCTTCCTTATCTAGAAGATAAATCCTTTAACTCGACCACCTTCTCAAAACCTATCTACTGCGTCAATGTTTATTTTCCAAAATATCTCGATTTCCAAACCTAAGTCGTACAAAATCTCTTCTCAAATCTAAGTTGTACAATGTTTAGTAAATAGATATAACAAATCAAATCGGCTAACTAACATTCTTTCCTATTTAAATCAAGTTGATCATTCTCCTCTCCAAAACTTGTACTCTTTCGAAATGTTCTAACTATCATTAGAGACAAACTAGACATTCATGAAATGTTCTCACTATCAAAAGTTGCACCAGAAAGTTCGTACAACCTACTTTTGATAAAGAACTGAAAAAACATATCTTTTTTGATAAGTTGACTTTAATCAACGACTACTACCTACGACAAGGATAAGAAGATCTGAAGATCCGAACATCAAAGCAAAGTACTATCTAATGGACATTTTATTGAAGCCTATATATTGAAGAATGTTAAAGAAAAGAGCAAGAGAATAAACACACGAATACGAAAGAAAAATCTTTGAAGAAACAAAAAGCTCAAAATAAAAGAAAATACTCTCAAGCTTCATAGAATCAAAAGCTTACTATTGTAAAACGAGAGAAAAATCCCAAGAGTCTATTAAATTGCATTGTATTATCTACACATCCTTTTTGCGAGAGTAATAGGCATAAAATAAGATATGGACATGGGTTTATATACACATAAGATACCTTCATTGGTAATAGGCCTTTTGGAGTGGTACCAAAAGCAAATCCGTGAGGACCTAGCCCAAAGCGGACAATATCTTACCAGTATGGAGATCTATGTGTATGTGTGTGTGTGTTGAATCTCCCTACAAATGGTATCAGAGCCCATGGTTCAGGTCTAGTGACGAGTACGTCCCTCCATGATCAAGTGAAGCCTTGGCAGGTGGCCAATGACAGATAGCCAAATGAATCATGAGAGGTGGAGAGCAAGAGATGATCAGTGTTGTGTGACCATGGATCGTGAAAGAGGGCAAAAGAGATGCTTAGTGTTGACCATAGTCTACTCGAGGATAAGAAAAGACTTTCGTTGTAGTGGAGGTAGAAGAACCATAGTCCTTTGTTTGAGGAGAGGATGTTGGTACAAACAAAACCCCACATCAGATAAAATAAGATATGGACATGAGTTTATATACACATAAGATACCTCTATTGGTAAAAGGCCTTTTGGAATGGTACCAAAAGCAAATCCGTGAGGACTTAGTCCAAAGCGGACAATATCTTACCAGTGTGGAGATCTATATATATGTGTGTTGAATCTCCCTACACCCCTACCCTCCTCCCTTCTAGTGTTTTTCATCGTGTTTATGTTATTCCTAAGTATAAATAAAGCATCCGATGAGTCTGAAGGTCATTCCATAGAGTTGTTTTAGTTGTTTCACAATTAAGGAAGCAAATTTTAGTTACTTTATGTTTTGAATTATACAACTGATTTGTTTTAACTCTGAAATTGTACTGGTATGATTAAATTTTCATGAATTGATAGGTTGAGTTGTGAGTTTAGTGGTAGGATTCATATT